CGTAATCTACTTCCGTTGTACAGGGCTACAAAGGAAACGTTGTCTTGATTGTCGTACAATTTTCCAGCTTCCGTCTTTGACGGTGGCAGTCCAGTGAAGCTTTTGTAGGCTGCCTTCCAGTAATCGACAGTTTCGGTGCAGTTTGGTTGAGCGGCAGTAAGGGCCTTGAAAGCATACGTTCCATCTTTGAAAGGCTGTGCAGCCGCTTGGGAATTATATGCTTCGGGTTGCGTCTGAGAAAAGGAAGCAAGAAATGAAAAACAGCGCGAATACACGCGATGAAGCTAATGCAAACAAGTTCACATAATGCTCAGCGACTTACAGGTACCAAATATTCACAAAGATCTTTCCAGTCGCCATTAGTAAGTTCCTCAGATCCAGGATCAGATATTTGGTCTCCGGGGTCTGTTGCCTTAATGAAGTTGGCTAATCCAGCTGCCTCACGGGCGTTGTTGACTTCGTCAAGACACTCGACAGAGCTACCTGCAACCAATGACTCCGAAGACCCCCATTCTTTTCTGTATGTTTTACATTACACTTTTGCGTACGGGATTAAGCACGTTTTCAAGTGCACAAGCAAAATTGTTGGAGCTGACGCTCGGCCCCAGCTGTGGGCCGCAACAAAGTCAAATTCAAGCAGAAACCCGGCGAAGCAGCCCAGATTAAGGGCTTACCAAGCTTTGCTGTATACTTTACGGTAGTTACTGCAGCTGCTTGTGAGCTCTTCTCGCTTAACCACAGCAGCGAAACGCTGAGGAAAGTCGCCAAGTGCACACGGAACATCTCTGCTGACTGGTCCACTATATGAAGAAATTGTTACACGAAGAAACAAGATGCATGAAAAGTAAAAGGTACAATATTACAGCCGACAGATGAAGGAGACGGTTCTCTTGCCCATGTGTGGCGTCGGAGAAGGTCGGTGAGGTAGTAACTGCGGACGCTCACACAAGACTACATGTGTAGTGCACAGACACTACAATGGGGCTGGTTAGTGCTCTAGAGAGGATAGCTAGACAGCGACCTACGAGGGGTCGCAAGACTGGAGGGA